ATAAGACTATATCGTTGTGTGATACACTAAATTAGCCGATTTATTGTGGTGTCACAAAGAAGACAGCGGTTTACTATGAACGAGGTAGTAAATTGTTCACGGACAAAGCCACGGATTTGAAATGTTCTGCGTCCAATCAGGCAGTGTCGAAGGGCCAAAGTCGTAACTTATTTTTATGCACGAAAATTGCTAACCACCGGGTTGAATGGACGAATAAAGAGAAACGAGATATGACTCCCAAGGTTGCCCTTGTGAAATTAATTGGCTTTCAGCCATTTGGCTCATGCGGCCATTCTTCGGAAAGAAGCATGAATCTTGGTCAGGACATTATGTAAACTATTTGAAGAGTCTCCTAATCAAGGGAAGTTGTCCAATCCTTAAATGTAAGGCCATGTTATGCCAGCCTTCAAAAATTGACGGAATGTCGCAGAGAAGTAAAGGTCCGTAGCTTCCTCCTTGATACCCCGTGGAGAATAAGCGCCTCTATTTTAGGACACATTTCTTTCGGTTACCCTCTCACAGCAGCAGAGATTCATCAGGTTGCACTACCGCATTACAAGCTTTCTTACCACAGCAGATAGGTGGAATGATATGGCTGACTGCGAAGGAAAAACCGTTAACATTTATCCGCAATCTTCTAGTGCCCCACCGGGCCCCCAGCGGCTACCCTAGTGATAGGCCAAAGCTAACCAAGACCAGCCCCCCGGCTCATATGCTGCTAATAATCCTACTGACGTGGTCATTTATTAGGGATTCAAGCAGGGTGTTCCGCGCCCGAGGATACAGAATATCAAAGCTAAATCCTCCAGGGCCAGGTTGCCAGGCCTCTTATTTTTCTCGGCAAAAGGACTTGCCTGAATGGGTTTTTGAGAATCCTCTTTTTCCGAACGACAGGGGACTGTGGGGGCAAGCCGGAAGTCTCGAAGATAGAATTTTCCTGCGAGAAGATTCAACCCAACTTCAAAACTGGGTGAGCAGCAGTGGGTTTGCATTTAACCCTGGAAATGAAAGGTGGTATGGATAAGATATGACGCAGGCAATGCACATAGTTAATAGGCCATAAGACCAGGTGAGTCACTGATGGTGAAGTACTTGATTGACTTACTTGCTGAAAGACCAAGACTCTGTATGAAAAGCTACACAAACGCATGACACAAACGTTTTAGCTCACATTACTTAGCTGAATATGTGTTTAGGTAATCCGAGAACCTGACTGTTTGACCTGATCGTGTTTTCTGTTGTGCCGCCGGTTTTTATGCCTGTACATCACCAAACACGTCAAAAATTTTGACAAATGAGCCACCTATTTTGTAAATTATATCCAATGATGATGCCCAATGACCACTCAAGTGCTTAACAATGCCCAGTTCGAGCTTGTGGTAGAATTCTTTTTTCAGCGTTTTGAGCTCATCAGGGGCTAGACGGCTTGCTTTGGACACCACAGGTGGACCTGCGGCCGTGACGCGATGTGTAATATTGCTGACTATGCACGGTAGGGCGTGCATCGGTTGTTATAACCCTGGATGTTTCTCTAACGCTGCCTCATGGGACACGTCACCTGAATGTTTGGTTCTAACGATGGCTAAACTAGGACCTACGTAGGAGGTGCCACCAGTGGAAAACTTTGTCTTTTTGTCTACCAGTTGTCGAGGACCAGCATCTGCCAATAGATCGCAATGGGTTAAAAAATCTATGCCAATGATGCGCATAGAAACGTCAGCCAGGGGAAAATCCAGTGAATAGGTCTACGTAGACCTGGGTTGAGGTAGGCACACCGTCACCCAAATGTTGCAATCGCATTGCCGTTAGCCGTTTGAAGACTGAAGGATGGATCATGATGAAGCTCCTTTGTCGGCGTGGAGAGAACGCTAACTTCTGCGCCGGTGCCGACGAGGAAGCGAACTTTCGTTTTTGTATCGGGGGCGTAGAACATACGGCTGCGGTTGCCGTGGGCGCATGCCAGAGTGGCAGTTTCCTAAAGTTGTATCCATGTTGAAAATGCTTAGCTCCTGGCATTTTCTTGTCAGGTATTGTGAAACCAGCACTATTTGAGGTTCTCTACCCGGTTGGGTTCAGTTTTTGGACAACTACGGAAGTTGCTGCGATGGGCTTAGATGCGTTTCTACGTTGTGCTGCGTAACGTGGGGCTTCGAGCTAGTAGCAGTTGTTTAACCGAGTTGCTCGGCCTGGCCACTTCTGAATCTTGGCTCTTGGGTTTATCGCAGACAGAATGTACTTTGGAGACGCGTTGCCAGAAATCTCCAGTATTTTATCTGCTGGGGCTGCTGGGTCACCGAGTGGAAATGGCTGAAGTGTCACAAACACGGTTTGCACCTGTTGTGGTAGTTTCGAGAGAAACAGTTCGCAGAAAAGCCCATGATCGAAAGTTCGTGTGTCCACAACTTCTCGCATGAGTGCGAGGACTTCAGTGATTGAGTTGCTGCCCAGCTGGATGTTACGAAACAGCCCGTCTGGGCGCTGGCGATCTGTGAGATCACTTTTCTTCAGTAGTGCAGCTTTGAGAAGTGCAACGTGACACAACAGCGTGCCAAATGGCCTGGGTGCTTGACCGCGTGCCTCCTGCTTAGCAAGTCCAGCTAAACGATGATGGCCAGCATCAATGTTGAACCTCGCTGAACCCCAGGTTATTGATTCTGGAGATGTGTGTGACTTTACAATAGTCTGTCGCTTTACTGTGAATGGACAAAACCATTTTGGTCCTCACTTTGAGATCGATCAAGGTTGTCCGAGTACTCTAGGTTGAGGCGTGCAAGAAACGACTGGAAGCTCCCGATCCTTATCCTTTGGAATATGAAGGCTTGGAGAGGATTCAGTAACGATATGAAATATCCTTGGTCACCCTGGAGACCCAGAGCGTCGCTTATAGAATTTCAGTAGCAGCATCTATCGTAGACGATATGCAATGAAGTTAGGATTTGGACATAAGAGGTTCGATGTCAGATGCAACTTCTATTCCCAACGGATTGTAACGTTTCAGAATGCCCACCTTGAAAATGTAACGCAGGTCACTTTGTCTGAAGATTTTAAGCGTGGGTTTGAAGCCTACTAGCGACTTCCGAATGAGCTAAATCACAATAACCATACGAGAAGACCAAAGGGCCAAGGCTTATACTCTGTTAGTTGCCGAATGTTATGGGGTGGTTTGATAATGGCTCACGAAATGCCAAAAAGCCCACCACACAGAGGAACACTACCAGGTGGCCACCATAGTGATCTTCGCAGAGGCCCATACAGAATTGCCTACCAAAGGTCAGAAACTCGTGTACGTTCACAACTGTTCTCCCTTCGAGTCTGCGGGCACTGGAATGCATTGCCATTACCCGACCACCGATAGTTTCAAGAAAGAACAGACAATTGAGCGGTGGCCCACGGTCTACTCTGATTTAGATGGAATGCGAACTATGTGTATGCGAATATATCAACTACTGTCACACCATTCCAACACTACTACCTCTTCACCAAGTCTCTTCCTACCCAAACCCACTGGGCGTTTCCCATCCCTCTTACTCTCCATGATTTAACCTCACTAGCCTCAGTTCTTCATATCTTTACACCTCTCTCCTCTTGCCTGGGTACACGTGGATCACCCTATCATTTCACCGCAGTTCCAGGCAAACTAACCCACCTGTTGGGTACACCAGAGCTATAGCAGACGAGTGGCTGGATCTACTGTGTTGGAATCCATCAAGGACCAGGAACCGTTCTGCAAGACCCAGAAGCGGGCAAGAGGAATTCGACTGCCTTGCACTATCCAGTTAAACAGATATTAGATATTAGAAGTGACTTGCACTTCGGAGCTGTCGTCACGACATACTTTTTTTGTTTCATACGTCAGTTACCAAACACATGAACTTGTGGTTGGCTAATTCCATACACAAAAGCTGTTTGCGTAGAAGTTTACTTGGTTTCGTATTCAGCCGTCATTGCAGGCTTGGATTAAGGACTTTTTATAGGATAGTAGGCAAAAGAGTGAGGGTAAATGGAACACTATCCGGGTGGAAACCTGTGATGAGTGGAGTTCCTCAAGGAACAATCCTAGGTCCACTACTCTTCTTGTTATACATCATCGAATTGCCAAATATGCTCAACTCTTCGGTACTGTTATTTGCCTGTGATGCAAACGTTTGGAGAGCCATACGCAGTGATGCAGATAGGTGTGCACTTCAGGCGGATCTAGATGAACTAGTAGGTTGGTTCGAACGTTAGTGCCTGGAAATCAGTTCTAACAAAAGTGCAATAATGCACATTGGTCACGGTAATTGTTTCCAGTAGTCCGTTGATGGTACACCACTACTTCCAGTCCTTGAAATAAAAGACTTGGGTGTCACCATTAGTCATGATTTAAAAACCTCGACAAGCTGCAGTGCAGCTGCAGCAGAGGGCTTCTGTACATCATGGTCCTTCCACCGAGCTTTCAAATGTTTTGATGAGGACATGTTTAGAATACTCTACTCTGCTTACGTTATACCTCGTTTGGAATACTGCATTCAGGCGGCCAGCCCATGTCTGAAAAAGGATGCTGACGCACTCGATCGTGTTCGTAGGGTAGGTACCAAGCTTGTGGCAGGTTTTTCGAATCTGTCCCATGAAGAACGACTAGATCAGCTAAACTTATTTCCACTGTCTTACCGTAGGAAACAGGGTGATCTCATACTGGCATTTCGTGTTCTTGATAATGACTTCGGTACTGATATGTCCTATCTTTTCTCCCTTGCTAGGACTAACTATCTCCAGGGGCATCACAAGGAAATTCTAAAACCGCGATCGAATCAACTTAGCCTGAATCTGCATTTCTCCCATCGTGTTGTCAATAGCTGGAACTTCTTACCTCAGCAAGTAGTATCAGCACCTTCTGTCAACGCGTTCAAGGAGAAACTAGATCTCCACAGAGATATCTTCTGCAAGGATTAACACAGGCCAACTGGTCTACCATCCTTATAACTGAATATTGAAACTGAAGCGTTTTTGTTTAACTTCATCGCAAACATTGTATAATTTCATTAGTCTGTTTGACAAGTGTATGGGTTTCTGCAAAATTTCATATGGATACAAACAGCTAAGAATAACTGTGACCGTTCTGAATTTAATCGTTATTGTAATGCAGATTTATTTGAATTATTTCATTTACAGGGATGTGCAGTCTCCATAATCACCGTGGGTGGCATTTTCTACCATTCAGTTCGTAAACACAGTGATAAACTCCATGAAACTATTAAGCGAATTATAACTTGTCTAGCCACTGTTGCGGCTTTTATGGTGCTGATTGGATTTCTTGGTTTATTTGGTGTCTGTCTGGAAAGTCCTGATATTCTTTCCCTGGTATAATACAAATTAGTGATTAAATGCCACGTATTATTTCTGCTTTTTAGTATTCTGTTGGACTCTTTTGCATAATTCTCTTGCACCTAGGAACTGGAATTGCATGCTTGTTACATCAGGGTGAGGTGGGTTTTATGTATTCTGATAAGGTGAATTAAAACATAAAATATGTCATAGATGTGGGATAACCTTCATTTGATCATGAAAAAGGCTGTTGAGACTTATCACACGGATCGGAACATGGGCATAATGCTGGATAAAATCCACAGAAACGTATTGTTTCAATTATTATTGTTTCGTTGTAGCTTCATTGCTGTGGAGCAAGGAACCACTTGGAATATGGCAATAATATACCCTTATCATGCCAAGAAGATGGTTTCGTTTACCTAAAAGTACAGTCAAGTAACAAATCTGCACAGTTTTATATACCATGTTATATATGTGTTATATTTGATGTCCAGCTAAATATTGGTTGTTCCCCGACCTAAAACCAATGATCTTAATAACTACCTCTAGTTTAGTCTATGCGCTCTAATTCCCTATTCTTCCACTCATTTCTTAAAAGACCGAAAATTCCTAAAAAGTATTCAACAGCGCACCACACTACTCTTGATTATCTGAAAGTTTCGTAGAGTGCAAGACTGAATTCTTTTTACAATGTGGTCTTGAAATATGCTGTAAACTGTTTATCTACTGGACAATATATTAGTTATCTATGCAGTATCATTGAGAATTCAGCTTCAGATTTAAGGATAGAGGGCTGTTATTTTATAATTATATTTTTCCATTAGACCTGTGTACTTTTTCAGCCCTGTTTTGTTCAAGTTATTTGATGACATGAACACCACTTATTCTCAGTGTCAGTCTGAGGAGTTTATTACTCTACGCAAAAATCTGTTGTATACCAAAACGGTGCTTGTTCTTTACTTCCTTACCCTGTCTTCATATAGTTTGAGGTGTCGCAACTTAATGGTAAAAAACACACAAAATAAATCATATCAAAGGCTGTTTCTTAAAGTCCTTTATATGCTATAGGTGATTGGATCTCTCCTCTGTCTTCGATATGAAAAAGGAAGAGACCCAAATATTGGGATTCTTTTGCATAGATCAGACTGGCTATCGGAGGGATTACACGAGTGACTATCTCCTGGATTCTTTCTGGAAGGTTTGATTCGACCCTCATACAAGGATCTAAAGTCCGTCAGCTGATCTTCAGGTTAAGTCTAAATAAGGATGTTTATAAGGTGGTTAAAATATCATAACTTATCTTGCGTAGTGTTCAGTATCCCAATGTTTTCGTTCGCAAGTAATTGATAGTACTTTGTAGTCTTCAAACCATAACTTTCTGTGACTACTAGACCATTGAGGGTAGAGGAGTGTTACCAGTATAGTAGGTGTTGTCACCTCTGTGTCCTAAATACGCGCTCACATAAGTACCTGTGTTGAAAGGCACCAGCCATTTCTCTTAACAAGCTGCTTAAATTTGTCTAAAGTATGAGTACGTCTTCTTTATCCCTAATTTCTCACCTGAGTGATACAGCACCATTGTAGTTAAGCATGAGTGATTTCTTGATATTTGATGGTTCATTTGTGTACAGGAAAAATGGAAATGGATCTAAGATTATACCTTGTGGCAAACTCATCTGTACCGACTTACAATAGAAGAGTCAACAAGTGATCCCTACTCTTTGTCTCCCATCAACATGGAACTCTCTGATCAACGCCAAAAAACTACCAGTTATTTCAATACTTTTTAGTTTCATGAATGACTTGGAATGAGGTGTCTTTTTGAACGCCTTACTGAAGTCTATGAAAATGACGTCCACAGGTGTCCTATCATTCTTAGACTTAAATAAGTTTCTATTGACTGTATCAGGATTTGTCTAGCACTGGAAACTTCTGCGAAAGACAGGTTGTGAACGGAAAAGTAGAGTGTTGAGTTCTAGATGGACTGTAATTGTTTTCTTGAACACTCTTTTCATTGCCTTTAATAAAGTACTAATCGTGCTTATAAGCTTGTAATTTGTTGGGTGCTTTTTGAGTGGGTGTGACTAAAGGTCCTCCTAATCATGTGGGAGTGTGCCTTCACTGAGGGACAGTCTAAATATAGTAGTCATTGAGTCAGCTACGTAGGGTGCAAGGTGCGTGACAAAATATTTTGATAATAATTTGTACAGGCTCAACTGTTGTTTATCAGACTTTGTGAAACTATGTTTAAGGGTCATGGAAAATCGTATTAAACTCGTCGTCATGGTTAAATCTCTTATTTTCCATTCCTGTGCCTAATATATATTGAAACTTGATTGTTTGGATAGTGACATATTTTTAAAATTCTATTTCACCTCAACAGAGAGCTGGTAAATACTTGATATTGCAGCAGTTACATTTTCAGTGGATAGCTTATTCTTTGAAGTGTATCTCAGTTTAGAAAAGGAAAACGTCCTGCTTTATTCTTTGAAACCTATAGTACAACAAAAGTTACGTCCTAATTTGAAGTAAGGAGCAAAAAGTGCTAGAACTACCTATTTTGACCAAAAATTCCACTTGTTTAGAAAACGATGATAGAAAAAGGCTTGTAGATGAAGGAGATTCAACGTTAGTTTTTAGATTCTGAGGTGACACATTTCCAGGAGGTAATTTCTATGGGGAAGGGAAGAAAGTGAATGAGTTAGAAATTAAATCACTGCTTAGTGTGAGGAATAATACTGTGGCGTCTACCCCAAGTTGTCGAATGGGCAAATGGCTAACATCCAAACCATTAAGTCGCTTCAGTCCCTACTCTTTCAACCCGTTCTAACATATCTGTTTCGTAATTGAAACATTTTCTCGCTGCTTGAATCCCGTATTTCAAATAAGGCTTGATGTATGTTGAATATAATAACTGAAACTCATCCTCATTAAAGTACCAATGGACCTTAAGAATGCACGCTAACACTGTAGGAGCTTTAGTAGCTGATGTTTTGCTGGCTGATATAGTTTTAATTTAATGGGTTACAGTAACAGCCAAATTCGTACACTCCGAAAAATTGGGTAACGAGAACCCTGTCAGAGGCTTTTATTACATCAATAAAGACTACGTTAGCAGAGACGTTGTTCTAGACGGCTTTCGTCTAGGCTTCTCTTGGAATAAGTAGGTAAGTTGGAAACTAGTGACTCTTTCTAGAACCTTGAAAATCCGGATATTATTAACGCTTTATGCCGAGTGCAGTGCAGTATGGAGTTTTCTGAACTGGTCAGAGCATCATTTCCTTCGTTTCTTCATCATCTTTTATTGGGTTCATCTATGTTGATCTCCTCGCAGATAGTAACCTGATTGTTGGATATAATGTTGTCAGGTCTCTCCTACCTGCAGCCTGTTCTGCTTCACTTGCCAATATGTCGTGGAAGTGTCTTTTGACTTTGTGCACACTCTTCTTCACTTCTTCGTCCAGTGTAGTGTTTTATACGTTGTACTCAGTTCCTCTTCTCGTTGTTCATCCTTGCACTGCACTGGTTCATCTTCTGCTTCACCATCCTCATCTTCTCTCCTCTCCTCTCCTCTATCAGCTTCCATGTGTGCGTGGAGATCCATCTCCTGTCCTGTCATGTATCTTCTTCCTTCTTAATGCGGTTATGCAGGTTTCCTTCCACATCTCTTTCAAAGAGTTCTACTGTTCTTCCACACAGGTTTCTTCAGGGATGTTGTTCAATGTCTCCCATTTTGTTCTGATGGCTGACTGACGTGAATATGTCTTTTGTAGTTTCGTTCTTCAGTTCCTGTTCTAGGTGGATGTTGAACTTGAACTGTGGTCTATCACCAACGTCTTTAAAGTCTTTCGACCTGATTTTGAAGGTAGGTTGCTTGCACTAGATAATGGTGTGAGTGGTGTGAACCTACATCTGCTCCCCTCCCTTGATCTGATTTTGTGTGAAGTAGGCTGGCTGCGTCTCCACTTTCTTCACATTGAGATGAAGTCGATCTGATGTTTAGTGTAGTGTGTCGTGGTGTCTGGTGAAATCAAATCCATGTCGCTCACTTTGTGAATGTCCTTGTGTTTGTACACAGTGCCTCCAATCACCAAATCGTTGAATGCACAGAATTCTGCAAACAATTCTCCATTCTCGTTCATCATTTCACTGAGTGCTTCTCTATACAGGATTGGTTCTCTTCCTGTGTTGTCTGCTCCCATTTTTGCATTCATGTCACCCAACCGATTAGAATTTCGATGTCACCAACTGGGGTGAGGTGTTGTCCAGTGTTGATTGGAGTTGTCTGTAGAATTCTTCCTTGTTTTTCTGTTGATGTGCATTATTTGTAGGTGTGTGGCGTAGCATTGTATGATTGTGACTTTCCTTCGTTTTGAGTTGAATTTTGCTGTCATGATCCTGGAGTAGATTGGTTGATGTTGAGGACATCATGAAAGCCACTCGAAAACTCAGTGTACTGTGCTTGTGTTTGTCGTCTGGGTGACAATATGGGAGTAGATTATTGACTTCTGTGGAGTTGACAGTTTGGAGAGTCCACTTGCGTTCGATCTGCTTTCTGAGATTCCTAGCCTGGCACTTCTATGCTATACCTTCTCATCTGTTTTGCGATCTGGGCAGCCTTGCCAGTCAACCAGCCAGCCGCAAACATGGTGCGAACATTCCATATCCTCATCCTTACTCTCGCTTTCATCGAGAGAGGCTAAGGCACATCGGCCTACTGGCTTCCCGAAGGCTTTCATCACCGGGCGTCATTTTGTCTCTCCGATTCCATCGAGGAATAAGTTTGTTCTTATTTTGTATATTTTGTTTATGGTTTGAAGTTTCTTAAGTGGTTGGATTGATTTTACGGGGTAGAGTTGCTATGTGTATGTCCAACCTTCCCTCTCTACCCGTGCTTAAGACTGGCTAGTAGTTAGTGAACTAGTTAAGCAGGCTAGGTTATCTATTCCTATGTGCTGATAGAATTCTACCAGTGACAAGTGCCAGAAAGCATAAAACATACATCAAAGGCTTTCTGCAGAATGCCTTCATCCAACTTAAATTTTTGCCACTGCATCGCGATGTTGAGTCAACTGGCCTGATGGTCACATTGTAAAATGATGGACAGAATTCAAACAACACCTAGTACTAGGCAACTTGAAGTTGGTTACCCTTCAGTGACTTGTCAATGTATAATACATCAAAGCCTCACATTACTTAGTTTAGTGTTCATTTAACAAATCTGACGAGTAGAATTCTATCTGTGCTGAGAAATAAGTAACCATCAACCATGTATATGTGACTGTAAAGTGATCAGTTCGTGTAATTCTTATCGTGATGTTATTCAGTCAGGATACTGACCATAATCTTCCTAGTTTGAGTCCATCACACTCTTAAGATTGCTTCACACTTATCAACATTCCAACTATTTCACTGATAAACATGGATTACCTCATCAGATACTTATGTATTCGAAAAATGGACATAGCTTTTAATTCGAAATAAGCATGCTAATTTTTTATCCAATTTCTAGCTTTGCTTCCTGATAAATTGAATATTAAAGCTGAAAAATGTGGAGGCGTCAGTTATTCTCTACAAATCCAGGCGATCAGGAAATCTGGCTGTTAATTGTACAAGGAGTTTTGAAAGTGTATTTAGTCAAAAATCACTACCATATATATTCTTAGCTATTTGAAAAATGAAAAGTTGATGATTTCATATTCAAGAGTAATATGGCTTAAAAAACCACTAAATAACACCAGTGATATTCACTTTATCTTTCTTACAATAACAAATTTTTAACATAAAGTTGACTTCCAAAATAGTTGACGTATAGAAAATTTCCACAGATTTTTTAGAAGTAAACTATTCGAACATTTTTCTGAACGATATGAATAAAATCTGAGTATCTTTATCTTGAGTTTCTCACATATGATGATTTAAGACTTCTATGAATCAACTATCAGTTTAAGGCAGTTGTACCAGCCCTGATGAGCAGGTTTCTTATGAAATCCTACCTCTGATACAAAAGGTTAACTTGACGTTTGACAACTGTCTTTCACACTAGGATTGGAGCAACATTTGTTTATCTATCGAAGAACAAGTATGCTGCAAAGCAGTTCTCTCTGTCCACTAGACATGACCATTGAACGTCGTAGATATAATAAAGTCAGGAGTTTTTGTTTATATGTATCTCAGTAGCATTGTTCATATGTGAAGAAACCAGTAGATGAACAATTTTAATGTTACACTCTGAGTTCTAGGTAAGAAAAACAATTTGATGAACACTTTTTTGGAAATCGATTGACTGAGGTCTGTTTCGAATGTTAGATGAAGGAAAATCATATATTAGTGGTGGATAGTAGCTAGGAATTGAATCCAAGATGCACGTTTCGTCCTTTTTAGGATTAGTCAGCTGGATGTACCTGAGTTCTGTCATCAATATATAATTGGAGCACAGGCGATATCGAGGTGTCCACATAGGAGCCCATCTACCAATGGAGACCAATCGATTCGATCCACTCAACTACGTTATAATACAAAGAAGATCAAGTTAGAGTAAGAGCATAAGGGTGACCAGATCAATAATATGACACTGTTATTTTGAATAGTGTAAGGAAGTAGATTTGATCCATATTGAGTTCTGGAGATGCTAAGACTCTAATGGGGGTGAGATTCTCCCTCCAAAGAGATGGTTCATAAACATTTACTGTGGTGCAAAAGTTTTTACTCATTTTTATCTTTATAACTTTGAATATTTTAGTAACCTGTCATAATCTGCTTTACTCATTCTAATATGGCAATTTTTGTATTCACTACCCTTGAACAAATACACCGTGGTGTAAGATTCTACACTGATCATTTATCTCTATCGAGAAGTTTCTATTTCACTTTACACAAATGTATCATTTCAAATCATTAATCCTTCTAATTAGTTTGATATTATGGTATGTGTTTATCCGAATTTCATGACACTGTATTAAGACAAAACATTCATCGAAGATTGTCCGAATACACCGTCTGTTGATAATCATAACAAGGATAAATAGACCTCATAAAACATTGCATTATGCCTAGCTATATACTTCATGGAAAGCATGTTCTAGACACTATTCATAATGAAAGGTGAATATTTTCTTTTCTGAATTAATATCGTATTGACGCCTTCTTGTAAAGAGGAGATTAGATGGTTCAGGCCTTTAAGTTATGATTTTTTCACGTTGGACAGTTAACATTATTATTATTATTATTAGGCCATAAACATGAGCATAGCGGATTCTTTAGAGATCTGCACAACAGATATGAATGATAGATGCTGGTTAACAGTGGAATCGAGGATGTGTGTTTCGCCCTATTTAGGACTCATCAGCCGGATATAATTACCTCCTGTTAGAACCCGAATCTAGAATAGTATTCGCCTGAAACACCATTAGGTCACTGAGCCAAGATAACTATAAATACAAAGGTCTGCACAACATTCGATTGATTATAAGACCTACTGTATTTTAGATTTTTCTTCTTGTTTTCATGGATACTTTCTGTACATATAGATTTCTGATATCTTTAATAAGTTATACTGAACACCAATCAAATAACAGGAATTTTATTGTTTTTTCAAACTATCCATGCAGGATTACTGAAGTATGCTAGTGAAAGACATGATCAGTTGAAAGCGTAACACATTTGTTAACATCCATTAGTTTTTACCAGATACACATAAGAAAGTTATAGGAATGCCAGACAGTCGTTGATGTTCTTCAAAGATGATATCAGTGACAGAGAATACGCTTTAGTCATTACGATGAATGTTTGCCTATTGAAATATACTGGGATACAATTTCGTGTCAGTTTGCTTGTTTTCTTTTCAACACATAACACTATGCTACAGTATTGCCTATTGGAAACTGTCTAGAAACATAATTTATCATCGGTTTTCATCATGTCAAAGTAACTCTACAACACTAAAATGTCCTTTTTGTAGTTTTTTTTTAAGACTTCATCTTTCTTTGTTCTGTCATTGTCCTATCATGTTTGCTGGAACTATTTGACATTGGCTTAATAAACGAGGATGAGACTAATTCAATTCTGAGGTTTGTGGGGATTTATTTATTGACTTCAGATTGATATTCATTACGGACTGACATTAGCTGGATAACCAGTGGAAACTTGGCAGCACTGGACAGCCATTTCGTCCTAGTGTGGGACTCTTCAGTGGCACGTACCCATGACTCCGATAGGAATCGAACCCCAGACTTCTAGGTTCTATGGCTAATACTGGGCAGGAATTCAGTGGTCCATATTTCCTACTTCTGTCACTTCATGATACAGCGTATCCTTAATCCAATACAGTTGTTGAGCAACTGTCCTCATGCTTGACTTGGTTAGTCCAATCTGTCACAAATTCTCATTAAAACTTCAAGAGTCATTTGTCGAAACTAGTCACCAATGAGGTTTGTAGAGATTTTTTCACTGACTTCACGTTGGTATTCATCAACATCTATCTATCCCTCTATTTGTTCATATGTAACCAGTTTCTTCATTCCTCTGTGAATAATTGAACACAATAATATGGAACAGAGAAGGGAATCCAGGCACTTGAGAATGCCATACTAACAATTATTTTAAATGAAATTAGTAGGCATTCATTGTACTTATTACTTTTAAAACTTTGTGAATGGCAGTCAACTGGATCTTTACCTCAACTTCATAGATTTTGAAAAAGCCTTCGGTAGTGTCGACCGACAAATAATTCGACAGCTGCTTCAACATTACGGTTTTAGTGCCACAAACTTTTATCAATCTCATTCAACAACTATATGCTATATGATGCTGCATGCCGAATGATTCACAATGGAAAGCTCAGTGATGCCTTTGAGGTGAAGAAAGGAGTAAGACTATGTTTCCGCCTACTATCACCGATAATCTTCCTGACTGCGGTCGACTGGACTGGACTGCATCATGCAACAAACCGTGAGGAGCGAGAAGAGGGGCATTTGCTGGCTGTACCGATGAAAAGACACCAGAGGAAGATTTGGATTTCACCGTTGCTGTTAATGATTTATGTCTAATGTCTTGTCACACAAACTCGAAGATCTACAGGCAAAAACCATCAAGTTGGTGGAATAGGCGAGGCAGCAAAGGAAGACGGGACTTCCTTCATGTGAACGTAGAGAAGACAGAGGTGATGAAGATACCCAAGCAACACCAACACTAACAACAACAAGCACCAATCACCATGAAAAGGAGAAACCTAAAGGAAATAGTGTCTTTCACCTACCCAGACAAGGCAGCATCGTTTCAACTACAGGTGGTGGCGGCGGTGGCACATATGAGGACGACAAAGCCAGGATCGGAAAGACAACAAGACAGGCCTTCCTGCATTAGTGTGAAATCAGTGTGGAGAACTACTGCACTACACCCAGCATAAAGCAGGGATAATATCCGGATTTTCAACACTGATGCCAATCAAGTCAGTGTTTCTATGTGGTGGGTGAGAGACTAGGCGGCGTGTCACGAACAGCATTTCCAACGAACTATAGACAGACATCTACAGCTGCCACCTACACTCACTCGATACTGACACTGAAGATCAGATAGATGGCCAGGATAATAAGAATAAACAACAAGAAACTCACTGTGGCTGGCAATAGACCAACCAACCAAGAATCTATCATCTAACAAATATGCAGAAGAAGGAAGTGGAGATGGATTGGATTTGACATACACTGAGAAGGCCGATTGGGGGCATCAAGCATCAGGCCAGGCTAGTCCAGGCCGTGGAGTGGAGTGGAAGCCAAATGGGAAGTGACAAGTTGGGCGTCCGAGGTGAGGGTGATATGGCAGAGATTGTGTGAGGGAGAAATGAAAGCTTCCTGAGCAGTTGTGGAGTCAGGTTCTAAAGACTGCAGAGAAGAGAGTGAAATGGCGATGTACTACTGAATCCCTATGTTCCACTAGGAACCCAAGGCATAAAGAGTAATAATTATTTATCATCTTATCATTTCAAGTATGTCCAATACATTTCTTCGGTCTGAAAACAGACGATATAGTTAAGTAGGTTGATTGCAGCAGAAGCGTCATTCATCTCAGTTGACGAACTCTAAGTGTTGACTTCATATTACAGTGTTAATGCCCATAGGTATTTAGATATACTTACCTGATGATTAGTCTTAATTAAATAAACTTCAATTTTTATTTCATCTATTATTATTAATTATCAGTAGAGTAATAATATAACTGTACATATCACTAAATTATCTATATTGTTGTTTATCTTTATATTACAGGGTTGTACAGATGCTTTGAATGAATTTGTAGGGAAATTCTTAATGACGATTGCAATTCTTAGCTTTCTATTCATCAGTGTAGAAGTTTTATCAATTGGTTTCTCTATATGCTTAGCTGCATACATCAGTTCAATGGATGAAAGATGACCTCAGAGATTACAATCAATTTCATTAATGGTGACAATATTCCTTTTTCGAATTTATTTTCTACAATATATTTTCTATAATATTTTAAGATTAAAGGAATTTGAGAAAAATCTATGTTGAGTTTTATGTAATTTTTTTTGTCATTATTTTGTTTGTTTGCTTACTTTCGTCAATTGGAAGGAGGCAATCGGTAAGAAACCCTGGACTTAGGTTTCATGATTGTTGCTACTAGTCCACCATCCAACTAACATCTCTCAAAGTACATCACGGCGCTGAACTGCCTAGTCTGGTGACCACATTGCGAACTGATCGATAAAATTCAATCAGGATTAGACTACATGAAGTTGGCTAGCATTCAGTGACCAATAATTGTATCCAATCCAGTCCTACAAGAGGTCAGTCGTGTCCCGAATAGTTTAGTGATAACGTCTGTGATTACTACGATAGGGGATACGGGTTAGAATCTCAGGTGGACATCAATTTCATCGGGGTAGCAGGTACACCTTGTTGACGAGCGCCAACAGGCACGAAACCTAGGTCTGCAGCTTCCACCTGATTGCTTGTATCCAACTAACACCTATCATAGTACATGACGATGTTGGGCTGCCTAGTCTGGTGGCCCCATTGCAAACTGATCGATAGAATTCAATCAGCACATTCAACTAGACTACATGAAGTTGGTTACTTTGCAGTGACCAATCAGATAACATGTCTTTATTCATGTCAGTTAGCTGTATATTTCGTAGGCACTTAATTAACAAGGTATGGATGATGGTTCATATCGATTTCCTCGTTCTTTGGATAATTCGTTTAAGGTGTTGATCATTGTGATGTATAAGTACAGACTTATGTATGCATGTTACACACATTTAGATGTGAACCATACAATTTTTTCTACCTATTCAGAATAGAAAAATGATATAGTTATGTTTTCACTTGACTTTCTGAGATAGCTGATGCTCTACCAACTGAGCATTGGACTGGAAATCCAGTGGTCACCGGTTCGAATCCGGTCGCTGTCAAAATTTTCATTTCACCTTCAGTCATCACTCAGTATATCAATCGGAGAAACATTAGAAACCTGGGAGCACTGGAAATCTGTTTTGTATTCTTATGAGACCCTTCAGAGATCGAGCCCGTGACCTTCAGGTTCCGGGGCCAGGACGTTCACATTGAGCCACTGGATCCATATTTCTAACTTCTGTCAGTTCACGACATAGCGCAACCATCATCCGATGTCATCGTTGAGCATTTGTCCTCTCGGCCACCAGCTTTACCCCATTGGTCATGACCTCCCATTGAAACTTTAGGAATCACCTCTTGAAGCAACTGACCAATGAGCACTAAATCAATTTAATTTGAGGGTTTGTAGGGAGTTAGAGATTTTTCAAGTCGGTATTTATCATGGAGTGACAGTAATTGGAGCAACATTGAAAACCTGGGAGCAATGGACAATTGTTTCCTTCTACGTCGCGGGTCCGATCCCTGGCGTGGTCGTGGATACACACTGCTGAAGAGTCCCATGCCAGGACGAAGCAGCTGCTGTCTAGTGCTCTCAGGTTTCCAATGTTCCTCCAATTCATGTCAGTCCATGATGAATATCAACTCTAAATCCCTATAAACCCCCAAATTCAAACACCCAGTATAGCTGTGTTAGTCGAAGCAACTTGTGAAATGCCATCTTCATAGCATACTAGGTAATGAATTCTGATATTGATTGGCATGATTTCCACAGCATCAATGTGGAAGCTGACTATGAGGTTTGGTATGTCACAACATATAGACTTTAAGACAAAGTAAATAGTAAGAAATTTGGTGCTTATAGCCTAAAAGAACAATGGTTACAGGCAGGATAGAAGATATTTCTAAATAAGGCAGTCCAATAATCATTAGGGTGTATAAAAAAATCATTGATAATCTATATAACACACAAGATGTATTGATATGAGCTGTGGAAACTCGGACCGTTACGCAGTAATGCCTGGTCCTGTGTTGACTTCTATTGGATGGATAACACACAAGAGAATTAACTGTAAAGAGGGAAGAAATGTAAGAAAGGGGAAATAAAATGAATAAAGACTTAGGCAGCCCAAATGAAAATGAAACAGGATCAAATCATATTCACCAACGGAGTAGGACATTAACCACACTCTCCTTCTGCTGTATTCAAAGGTCAAGGTGAAAGCACTTTATAGTAATCACTTCCTTGAAGCATAGTAATACAGACATTTTCTGAACGTCGGTTATTTTAATTTCACTCAAGGTTTTAACCTGATGTCCTGTATCTACCAGATGTCTGGTAATTGCATTGGTTAGAATTCATCTTCCCTTTCAAGTACAAATTGTTGGAGAAATGCTGAGTGAATGCAATGGATGCCCCTCTCCAGCCCACCATGTCAATTCTTCTAATGTACTTTCTATCGCGAGTCCATGTGAATTCATAAATACACTTGAAGATGACATGAGCAGGGTAATCATCCAATTTTGACTGGTTTAACTAGTATAAAGAGGTATTCTTGACTCATACAAGTTTAGCTGAAGGATAGCTGCTTCTCAATGCTGCTTTGATTCTTATGTCAAGTCGTTTGGATATTGAATCATTTCCACAGTTGGATGTTCATCTATGCATCTCGTTTTTTCCATACTTCATAATAAATAGTTCAAGGTATTCATTCTCTTGGAGATACTTGTCAATAAAGTTTATCTCTTCCTCTAACTTGTTTGCAGAAAATAATTTCATAGGTCTGTTGTAAAGTGTTTCAACTAGCCCACGCTTATAGTAGATGGCAAGAAGGAAATTGTTATATTTACTGTATTGTTCAGTCCATGTGTCTTTTCTATGAATGGTCTTTTCAATCATATAATCACTTCTTGTTCTGTTGTTGAGGTCCAAAAAACTGAACTCATTTTCATGCTGACATATTCCATTGTAAATTTAATGTTAGGATGAGCCTGGTGAACAACTCACTTGCATATTTCATATCATTGCAAGTAACAAAGGTGTCGTCAACGTACCTGTAGTCATAGGTTGTTTCTCTAATGACTGAACTCAGGCGCATCTGTTTGAGATAACAGGGGACAGGCTCTGGAGATGAACCCATTGCTACTCTATCAATCTGTTTATAAAGTTGGTTACTGAAACGGAGCTGAATTTCATCATACAACTGAAGATTATTAATTCCCTAATTTAAAAATATCTTGTGTGCCGTTAATAACCATTGTACTTTTAGACTGAATGCAGTTGAAGAGTATCCGTGAAATAAAATGATGACATTATTTCATTCCTCAAATTTTGTTCTTCTTGTTTTGTCCAAATTTATCAAAGGGTCCGACTGTATGAAATTCTCGAAATGACGGAGATTGCAGTTATCGAATGAATTTGAACTATCCCGTTCATCTAGGAGCTTTCATCAAGCTTGATCAACTGACAGAACAATAAATCTTGACAGTAAAATGGAAATTTACTTTCGTAGTGACCAGTTTTATTTACAAATTGCTTCTGATGAACAAAGTACGCAATATTCACTAAACACTGAGCATAACTGCCATTGTATGACTGTAATGACGAAAGGCTAAGGCCAGGTTATGAGAATGTGATTACTAATGCATAACACATGTTCTGAGAACAATAGAGAGCTTTCTTTTAGCTGAACATAGCTGACATTCCATGACTGTTTTTACTGCCACTGAGACTAATCGTTTCAAGCTTTGGAGTGTTACTTCCTCGTTTACTGAGCTACTCTTTATGCAACTTGACTCAGTATCTTAACGGAAAATACCACAGTCTCCAAAGTAATCGGTAGTGAGTTCTACTCTCAGTGGAAACATCACTCATCTTAGGATTTCCGAAATGGATAAAGATGATATGCTTTATTTCACTACCAGCTAATAGTCATTACTAATATCAAACTCAAATTGCACATCGGATCCAGGCATCTGCATGGAAGCCTATTTTTCAATAGTGGCTGATCGACCCGGTCAAATCAACAATGGGAAGGTACACGCTATAACATTAGTTGTCTGAATACTTGTTAGGGTACAACCTTCCTACCTTGTTAAAAAGACCACATAAATGGAATATCAGAATCGGCCAGACTTAATTGTCATTATTACTGAAGGTAGAGCATAAATAGTCATTCTGAATGTACCAACATGTAGCTTTTTAAAACTTTCCAGGTTGGTTTGTACTTTAAACGCTTGCAATACTACCGCATTCATCTATCACAAAACACTTCAGCTCAATACCACAATGTACGTTATGCGATGTTAGTTGGTAAGAGACAAACCAGTAGGAAGTCCTGCCCGACGTACATTTAGTGTTTGTTGCCGCTCATTAGCAAAGTTTGTTTGAAAATTCTATGGAACTAATTTCACCTCATTGGTTCCAACCGTGTGTTATTCAGTACTATAGATAACGACCTTATCAAACCATTCTAAAGTATGGGTTTCTAGGAGTATAAACTGCACTTGAGATAATATTAACACCAGAAAAGTTCATCTGAATGTTCGCATCATCTAAGTTATTGAAGTAATATTGAGAACTAGTGAGTATCACTAGTGGTCTTTGTGTTGTTGTCTTATGAAGATGCATGCGTACGAAACGTGCTTAGATATTTTTGCTATGATATATTCTGTGTTCACATCCATTTTGTTTAATTGTATGTGGACTATCTCTTGTTAGAAACTGAAAAACATTACTCCTTAATTCTAGTCCCTGATAAACGCAAAAGTTGTGATTACTTGATGTCTTCCTTTGACTTCCAACCAATGAGTCAGGAGATCGTTTCTGTTCCTATGCATAGAATTTTAAGCACACAGTTAGTACCATTCATCTTTAAGAAATGAATTACCTTTATAGTCTTGTGTATAATCCTACAAAGTGTTGATGATTTAAGTTATATTATCAAGTTGGTGATTTCGGGAAGAGAAAATAGCTACCGTGTAAAGACTCTCAAGCATCATGTCCATTTAAATCAAAAGTTTACGAGCTATGAATTCTTAACTTGACCATCGAAGATATCCTAAATGACACAAACTTTTATAATGGTGATGGATAGTGGCTAGCAGTGGAATCCAGGATGTACATTTCGCCCTATTTGGGACTCATCAGCT